AGTTTTGTCGACATTCATACTTTCTAAATGTAGATTCGCTAGAATGAGATGAGGGATTTCATGACAAAGAATTAATCGTTCTTCAAAGTTGGATAACTGTTCTTAGGTTTTATTTTTATCACTAAAGATCTTTCTAAGTACCAATTCATGAACCGGATCTTCATGTTCAACCTTTCTTCTCGTAAGTCTCACAGGTACTTCACTTTATTTATTTAGGTTCCTTTGGAGTCGTTCTCAGTCTTTTTTCTTTTAGTACACCCCTCACAATGAAAAATAGTGGTCCATCCATATTGGTGACACTCACAGCCCAAGGTAAAACTTTCATCTTGGGATCGCTAAACTATTGGGCCTTTTCAGCCAGATGATGTATAAATTTGTATCTTCCAAGTTTTAAAAACCTTGATAGTCTTAAGCCTTTTTGATACCGTAAAAAAACCATATATTATTAATTTTGAGCTTTTCTACTTTCACTTACTTGACTAGTAACCCTCGAATGTATATTCTTCGTAATTTAATTTTTTTTAATAAAATTTCTTCACCCTAGATTTTTTACCGGTAGAGAAAGGGACCCTTATTCTGTCTGGAATGTACTTTTTTTCAGTTTAAGAAAGTCAAGTTTAGTGGTTAGAAAATAAACAACTTTTTGGAGCAAATTAAGAAGGAGCACATATAAAACAGGTCCTAATAAATATTTGCGATCGACAGGTTTTTTAGCGCTCGATAAATGTATTAATTGTAGTGCTAGTGGTCCCATTATCTCACCTGTTTGTTATATATTCAATAAGTCGTTGCTGTTGAGAAAGTTGTGGTTCACGAGATTTGCGCTATGAGGAGGAGTTAAAATCCTTCTAGGCCCAGTGCCATTTCATTGTTGGCTCTAGGTAGACCTCTGTAAAGATCTCGAAGAACGATCTTAATGGGCTAGCTCTCATATAACTGGTAAGCAGTAGTGCTACTATGCATCGGTATTCCTATGCAGTTGACGCCATTTAACCACCATCGGAGGGGTCTTTGCGCAATGAGCGTTCAAGGATTTCTCTAACTTAAGCCATATTTTCTTGTGGACGAGGAAGAAATGGTGGATTTTTGAGCTACGCGTTAGGGATTCACTTGTTTTAGGTGTTTTTTTTAAGAGGTCGTACCATTTCGGCAGTAGGAGTTGTAAAGACAATTTTAGTTAGTATCGATCTTACTATTACAACTATAATTACTAATTTCTTATATTGCCATTAGAAATAATTTTATTGTTAGTAGTAGTATTATGTTACTATAATAATTTTTATTCATATTTTAAATTTTGCTCTTATAATCGGTACTGCTACTATTGATAAATTTATTATAAGGGGTACTATTATCGCCACTCACAGGTGTCTTAGCTATATCGTTATCTTCCAAAGTGCCCTCTTCTAATGTCCAAGATCTCTTTGGAAGGACGAGCGCAGAAGAAGATAAGCATAAATTTAAGTGCAAAAAAGTGTCTTTTTAATATTATTTTTAGTTTTTTTTATTTTTTTATTGGTGAAATATGACCTTAAACAATTCTAATTTCCTTTTTTTAAGTCACAATTACAGGCAACAAGTCGGCGTAATAATATCTTTTTGTTGTTCAGTATTGCGGAAGTGAAACCTGTTACCCCCGTGAGCAATATATTAACATACAAAGTAAAGTAATTAAAAAGTTTAAGTGATAACTTAAAGATGTATATATATAAGTTAGGGAGGTACAGGTATTAAAGCTAATAAGAAAATAGGTTTTGTAAGAGAAAGGACGCAGGCCACAGAGTTGCTCGATTTATAAACATTTGCATCACTCGAAGTATAACTGTCTCTTAGAGTTACTGAGGAGAAAGCAAATCTTTTCTAGTATTTTATGTAAATATAAAATATGGTCAACGTAAATATGAGTTAATAAAACTAATTCTATTTTCGCTTAGTTTTATATAAGTTAATTGTAGAGGTAGAACGAATAAATTTATAGTAACGGTCCCACGCTTCAAACGAGTACCATATCGTTCACATACAGCATATTGTGTATTAGCATTTTGGCGCTTATTCGTAAAACATTGCAGACTCCCTCTCCTTACGCTCATGAATGCGGTATACGCAAGTTGACTTGTTTAATACACAATCCTTTCCTTCAAATTTTTATCATACCCAAGTCATGCAAACTTTTGCTGCTTTCCTCATAAACATTGTCGCTCTCTTTTAAGCATCTTAATTAAGGATTTCGTCATTATCGCGTTATGAGGAATATAATGACAATAAAAGGTAAGCGCTTTTAGGGATCTGGTCAACTGCTTGTTTTTGGACCTGGGTTTATTAATAAAGGCTTGTATGGGGTCGGAACTCATTTCAACGCTCCCTTTAGTTAGCTCTCTTCCCAACCATTCAACTGAAGGTGTATGAAACTACATTTCTTCAATCTCACTTTAACTTTAAAAAACTCATGGCTATGTATCAACCCTGTAAGCCTCCTATAGTACTCCTCTTTAAAGTCCCTTGCTGCCGAGCAGTCTCAACATAGATGTAAGTATTCTTAAGACCGTTTATGCCTTTGGTACTCCAAAGGCGAGTTGACATAACCAACGGGAATAAAATCCAGTGTACACGCCTAATATCTGGCGAAGTAAAAACTAACTTTTTTAACCTCGGTTCGGCCCTCTGCAGAGTACCAAAAATGCGTTTTCCTTTAAACTATAATCTTTTCATTTTATTTATATACACTTTAAAACTTTCTATTACGCAGCTTACATCAAGGCCTCAAGAGGCATCAAAAATGCTCATATGTATTTATTAGCTCTAACTGATTATCCTTTTTGGACGCCTCCGTGCATCGATCTTCCCGGCAATAACCCTTTAATCCACTAGTCAGCGGGCTTCCAGAGATAAAGCTACTACCTGATCTAGATCTAACAATATACTAAATTTTTTAATACTTCCTGCCACAATTTTAACTTCACACTGCCAGTTAGGCTGTGCGTGCACCCCCAAGATTAGTTAAATAAAACTTTCAACTTTCTTTAGAAAGGTAAAACCCCTTTAAATAAGGCGATGCTGGTTGTGTAACCCTCGATCCAAGACCCTCCTATATCCAAGCCTTTTGCCTTCACGATTAGCTCGCTCAATTCTTTTTTTAATTAACTCCTGTGTATATATACTCTCGGGGGCTACAAGGGTGCTAGATTTTTGTATATTCTCTTAATAGTTAAATGTCATCCCTTTTCCACTATCATTGCTGTTGCACTCCATACATTTTTATGCCGATGATTTAATAATTTATTCGTTGCGAAACTCACCCATTTTACTACGCCAGCACCTACATTTTTATCTGGAAGGGCTTGCTAGCTGCTATCGTCGTTGAAATCTCTCCGTTAACTCTATTAACGGGGAAAACTTTGGAGGTTAAAAAAGATTTGTTTTAAGTTCACTGGCAACTAAATTTACCAATTTTTAAGTTTTTTTTTTTTGGGTTGCGGCCTAATCCGTTAGAGCATGGTACTCAAACTTACCAGAGAGTGTTTCAGAAACCAACCTGTCATTTAGAATCAATTTCATAGACCTACCCTTGCAAACTGAACCTAGGCGACAAGGGGTAAACATAGTAACCAGTAACCTATTAGGGTTTAACGCAGCAAAGAGCATGGTGCTTCTTAGGGCTGGTCGCGCTCATACGTATGTATATACTAGGTAAAGGCACTATTTTCATACAGTCCTATTACTATATATTCTATAGGAACAAGTACTATATTCCAGCGACCATTCCTATGAACCAGGTACTATGCTTCGAACATAGATCAAACTTTCACAGAAGCGGTCACAGGCTAAGGATAGTAGCTAGCACTAAAGAAAAGACCTTGTGCTGTTGACATCGTAGACTTTCAGCGGCATGGAAATTTAGTGGTTTTTTTTAGGGGAAAAATTTAGAACTCTTCATAGATTCTGAGTGGTCTAGGGTCCCTTCACGTAAAGTATACTTGGAGGTAAAAATCAAGGCAGCGATCCATATGCTATATTCTCTAATGTGCAGCGAGAATAAGCTTTCGTTGCGCAAAAAGCGAGGCTATATGTGTTGTGCGTTCGGCCGATCACGACATATGCATCCGCTGCCTGGGCCTACTTCCTATCGGCAACAGCGTCTTCCTTTGCGATAAAATAAATTGCAACCCCCTTTTAACAAAAGCGCCATTATTTGTGTGTTAGTAAACTTTAATACGAACTACAGGTTTGAGCACCTATTCAATATCCATGAGTAATGCTGGCGCCCTTTACAAACGGAGAGCTAGACTTGCTAACCGTCTTTTAACAGAAGAATTCACTTACGACTTGCGAGACGTTCGCGTGGCGCCCCCCTAGCGTGATGCTCGAAAGTTAAGAGTTCGATCGAGTACTAGGAAACGCATTTGTAAATAACTAACTAAATCCTCTTGTTTGGGAGGGGGGATTGGGCTATTTTCTTTCCTGCTATAGCTCTAATGGCTGTTGATCAGACCGATATTTATAAAGCTTTGGCTAGTGCCGCCTCTGTAAGATCCGCTAAGCCTTTGAAAATAAATAACTTTGATAACAAAACAACTCCTTTTACTTCCCAAGTAAGTTTTTGTTATTTTTATTATTAAGTCCATTATTATAATTTTGTACATAGGCACAGGAGATCAAGAAAAATATATATAACTTATTAATTTTGTTAGACAGCTACAAACTTACACATTTTGAAACGGTCTGACTTTATATTCATAATGTTAACTCTTTATTTTGCGTTTTGTTGATTCGTTTAGTTTATATTTATACTAAGTAACCCGAAGTTTTTTTTACCTTAACTATTGAAAAGTATAGAAAGCCAGTCTTACATCAAACTGACAAAAAGCAAATTTTGCTTAAGAAGGAAATACAGTCTTTAATAAATATCTGCGTTGCTGCTATAGCTGCTTTAAATAAAGAAACAGAATTGGGAGTTTTCAAGTACTTTTCTAACTTTCTGTTACTGCAGTTTTATAAGTAGTATGATAGAGTAACTGATAGTAAGGGTACTCAAAATAAGTGCATATTTATTTTAGAAACACAAATGAGAATACTCGTCAACATCAACAGAACGTTCTTCTGCTTCTTGAAGAAAAACTAAGTACTTGCATTAAGCGTCTGGAAAAGTTGGAAGCACATAAGGCCGCCTCCATTCAAGTGAAAAAATACTTTGATCTTGAAAATTTAAAAGTATGCACTTTTAAAGTTTGTTAGTTTAGCTATCTCTTTTTTTAACTTAAGTCTAAGTTAGTCTCACCTCGAAAAGAAGACACCTCCTTAGAGGTCTCGAGCTCCTTGTCAAGCGAGGAATATTTATTATATAAACAGGAAAATGAAAACTTGTTAGAAGAGTTGAATAACAAACGGGATACAGTTATTATATTATGCTCCCGCGGTTAAAAAACTTGACCTATTATAACTGACTTACAGGTGTTGGTTATTGTTGAAAGTCTGCATGAGCTCTCAGAAATGCAAAATACCCTCTGCAGACACATCTACGAACAAACAGAACAACTCGAGCATGTCGATCAAAACACGGTAGAAGCAACTGAAAGCATTATTGAAGGAAATAAACAACTTGCGGAGGCCGTAGAAAGCGGTTTGGACTTTCGAATATGGATTTTAATATATTTAATGGGCTGTTCTTTTAGTCTTTTATTTCTGGACTGGTATGGTTAAAAATCTTTAAAGACAAACCTACTTTACTCTTAATTCCTTTGCAATAATAATCTTTTACTTGCAAGTACTTTGCCGTTTTTAGAGAATAAATACTTAAACATTTGATTTTTTTTTTGACTTTTAATCAAAACTGGAAGGATTTAGAGTTAACCTTAGATAGTCGAAAACTTGACTATATAGAAAGAGAAAATCTAGAAGTAGCACAGTTTTCCCAGCTAGACCTTTTTGGTAAGAACTTATGGAGGTAAACTTACATTAGCAATTTTCAGGGAACTCAGTTTCTAGTTGCCCAAGCTGTGCTCCTCTTGCTCCTAGGCGCTGCGTTACCGTATGTTTTGGGCTGCTTTGACTATGCAACTAGCTAACTGCTTTGTAAATTGCCGTCCTAGGGGCAAGCTTATGAATGAAGCAACCGCAAGCTTAAACATTGGCTACTGTCTGGGAGCCTCCCATTATAATTTATTAAGTTGGTACTAGCTATGTAGCAAGGTAGGTGAATAGATAATCGTGTTTAGAGTCTAAAGATGTTCTATTACATGGATATAACGATCCTCTACTCAATGAAGAGAAGGACATACATTTAAGCGTAGGTGCTTACATTTTTTCAATCTTACCTTGTACTTGCCTGATCCTCACACGCATATATATGTATATATAATATACTAGTAAATAACGCTATATAACAGTGCCGTCGCACTACATATCAGTTACGATACATAGCACAAGGCACTTATTCATTAGCGCGAAGGTCTTACTTCAGTTATTTAGTAGATATTTTCCAACACATGTTAACGACTTCGGACCAAAGTATAGTATCATTTTCGTTACTAATTATGTATCGCATGCAACCGAGAGCCTCCAGACACTCTTGGTGGCAAAAAGGAGCAGTACTGAACATAGCTTAGCTATTTTCCACCAAGATTGTTTGTTTATTAGTTTATATCTCAGTTTCCATAGCTCTGCTTTATTGCCTACAAGAATAGAGGAGTAACCCAGGCAACGCTAACGCTTCCACTTTAGCCAGGTTAATGAGCCGAGCCGTTTCGAAACGAGACTCGTTCATCGAAGCTTAACTTCGCATTCGCCTATATACGACATTGACTGCCAGCTATCCTCCAAGAACATAGGGAAGTTAGCACCTGCCTATAGCTTCAAACCACCGTGTATCAATTTTGTAAGGCAAATCCTTCGACCCACGCAGAAGCACACATAGCTTTCCGAGTAGTGCGCAAATATCAACTCAGAGCTTTTATATGTCAGGAAAGTACCATAATCACGGTCTCAAAGTTTTGTATCTCATAGGTCATTCGTTAGCTACATTAGCCAAAGACCATAGGAAAGCCTTTTCGATAGTAGAGGGTGACATGACCCGACACAATATTATAAGTTTACATTTATACGTTAGTCCACCTTCAGATGGAAATCTTTCGTCAACCTTCGATATTTCTACTTACAGGAAGTCTAAAGGAATAACATACACGGTAGGTGCGTATACATGGGTCGATCTTTTTCGACCGCTTGTACGACAATGGCCCTGGCGGCCATATTAGGAATCGTCACGTCACATGAAGAATGTACAACTAAGGACGAAGGTTTCGATATATAGCTAACAGTCAAGTGCAAATCAAGGTGCATAGCGCTCCTACAGTTGCCATGAATAAAGGAAAGCGATGAATGTTTACCTCACTGTGATCAAAGTCCAATAAAGGATGCCCGCGCTTGGCAAGCATGATAAATATTGTAAGATTGAGGATCTAAAAGGGGAAGATACGTAGCGAGCATCGAAAACAAGTTAATTTCAAGTTCTCTAAAAATGGGTTTTTGTGGAGCTTAAATTTTCAGAAGTGACCCCCTAAAGGTAAAAACATACTAATACCCAGAGAAAAATTAGCTATTTTTTTGTTTTATTATCCTTGTAAATACATTATTCAGAAATTAACGGAGGGACATTGCGCTTATAAACCTCAACATCAGGGTATCTTCCTGAATTATTGTTATCGTATTCTTGATAAAGTTTTTTCATTTTGCTAGGTAAAAGCACAGAAATAGATACTTTATTAAGGTGACTTGTCTAGGATTTAACTAGCTTCTTCGATAAGGAAGTTTTAGCTGTTAAACTAGAACACCGAAAATAATTTGAACTTAGTCAATAACCCTTTTGTATGTTTTATTAGACCATTTACTGTTAACTTTCATCAACTTTATTCAACTTCAGTTAACAAAACAGTCTAAGATAGAACGCTACCTAATATAAGAATTAAGCACTAATTTGTAAGTCACAACTCGTCCAAGTGCCAGTAAAACTTAGCTGAAGGTGCAGTAGTTAGATAAAAGATAGCCCAAAGTAGATTTAAGTTAGCTAAAAATCCCAACTCAGAGAGCACTTCTCACAAAGGCAAGATACGCAATATAGTTTGCAATATAGAGTATTACACTTGAAAACATAAACACCTCAAACTAGTGTAGAGCCATGGTACCTTCCGAGATGAAATAGTACAAGTCAAATTAGCTTATTTCTATTTAACTCCGCTTTAAACCAACCTCAGACAGTTCTCGTATCGTTTAAAAGTACACTAAGATTATTTTAAGGATTCTAAGCTACCTGATGAATGAATTGACTTTTGTTTATTTCCCTTCATGTTAGGTAACTTAAGGTAAAGTTAGCTCAGGAGCACTACTGCATAGAAATAGTTCGATAAAACCGTGCTATAATTTTTCTAAACTTGTGTTTTTAATGTGTGCTAGATAATAAGTAAGACTTATTTTAGTAGTCAATTAAGTATTCTTTAAGTAAGATAAGCTTAAGTGAGCTCAAAGAACCTAAAAAAGGACGAAATAAAAATTCACAAAACACAGCTGTCACTAAGAAAGCTTTCAAGGACACTGACAGGCTAAAAATGAAGGATTTCTACTTATCTTATAGTTAGAGTCAGAAAGCTACCGTTAGTATTATGCTAGATGTTACAGGTTATAGCTAGCTTCCGATTTTAGGATTGAATGAACTTTGAACACCTAGAAAGTTACCTAGTTAGATATTTAGTACTTTCCTCTGATGCTTTGTCCGAGTTTTATAAGTAATAACACTTTTTCAGTAGTTTTGTAGAGTTTCTAAAATTACCTCTATGCTTCTGTTTGACGAGGGAGGAGAAGCCCAAAGTTAGCTCAACAGCAACCTCCGGATGGGCAAAGACTCAGTAGAATCTATATCACTCTTTTAGGGTTCGATTTCATATTGCCTTCACAGTAATAACCAGTTCATTCTGAGTTAGCTCAGCATATGTTAAATGATCGAGTACTTACTTCATGGTTGCCTCAGAGCTAATAGACTGTACTGTTGTCCATACTAAGTTTTTCTCATAATTTATTTTTTATCTCTTACTAGGTTATTCAGAGACAGTTAAGATTATTATTTTTATTGTTATTATTATTGCGGTTATTAATAGTGAAAGTGGACCAAGATTACTTCCTAGATGAAGGATTCTTACTAGGTGTAAGGCTCCTTACTAGTTTATATCTACCTGAGCTCCTGCATGGGTAGTTTATCAGTCTAACATGAATAAATAAGCAATGAGAATAAAGTTCTACCAAAGTAGAACAAAAAAAAGATGAAAATAAAAGTTTTTTTTAATTCTCTATCCACTGCAGCGTGGCTCCAGCTCGCTGGGGTGTGTTTGGAACAAACTCATCCCTTGGGACCGCCTTGCAGAGACTTTTAGATTTTGGCGAGCCAAAACGACAGCAGGTCGCCCATTCGGGCCCTGAAGTCATAAAAGAGAATAACCTTTATTTTTCTTTTTTTCATTCTACTGGTAGAACTTTATTCTCATTGCTTATTTATGCATGTTAGGCTGATCAGCTATCCATAAAGATAGTTTGAGGCGCTCAACAGAGCAGAAGCCCCCTCGCCTGTAAGAGTACATTACAAAGCACGAACAAAAACACAACTTATTGTGCTCCATACAAAAAGAGAAAACCTTGGATGTATTTTTGTTTACTAAAAAGAAATTACTTAGGTTAGATGTGATCAGAACTCTTTTAAAATTTGGAGAGCGCTAATAAACTGAATGATATAACCTGATGAACGAGTCAGCAACTTCAATGAATCCAGCTCATAAATAGGAGTAGTACCAGACAGTTACATTCTGGCCTAATAGACTAGAATTTACCAAATCTTATAATATGTGTAAACTATATATATGATCTTCTTACAGCATACAATTTAGTTGACATTGAAATTAATGGATACATTTTAATTAAGTTAATTTTCATTGGATACAATGTTTTAATTAATCACGTATTTTTTAATTTATTACTATTTAGAGAATATATATAAAATTTTACGATTTAATAAAGCGGACCCCTCCGGCTTCCTCTCGATTAGAAAACGCAGTTGATAGTTTCGAGGGCGCACTGAAAGCTGCTCATGTTGCTGCAAAGTCTCGTATTGCCCTGGCCGTCTACCGAATTATTTGATGAGCTTTATTCGTCAACGGCGCCGGTTACGCCTGGCTGCTGCTACACAAAGCCCGAACGACAAACTGATTCTAAACCGTCTTCACCGATGCATTAGAAAGGTGCTGACCGCCTTTCAGGATAGTCGCTTGGAGACGAAACTGCAGGACATGTCTGTAGCGGCCGAGGAAAGACGGCCATCTTTTTGGTGCTTCGTCAAACGTATTAAAAACCGTTGCCATGCACAACCTCCGTTACTTTATAGTGGCGGGATAGTGGCAGAGAGCGATGAAGACAAGGCGATGCTCTTTGCCGATCATCAAGCTGCTCAGTGCGCATCTCCAAGTTGGTTACCTTTGAGGGCGATGGCAAGACCCCTCAGGGCCCCCCGATTATTATTGGTGGACTTATTAAACCGAGTTCACCTGATGAAATCAATAATATAGTTTCTGCACTTTCACGACGGAAAGCACTCGGCCCCGACGGTGTTACTAACGAAATGCCAAAAAGCTGCCGCTGGTGGCGGATAACTATCTCTCCTGTTTTGCAACTTCTGCAATGTTTGCTTGGTTTTTTTTCAAAGTGATGGAAAACACCGTCGTGTGTTACCTAAGACGCCGCGGGCTTTAGCGGATCCCAGCAAATACCGCCCTACTAGCCCTCTTTCAGCGGGGGCAAAACCGTAGAAGCGGTTCTACTACACAGCCTGGAAGAGTTTGCAGAAACACACAAAGTGCTTCTAGAATTCCAATTTGGATTCCGAAGAGGTTACTCGATGGCACAACAACTTTTACGCTTTGTTGAGTGGAAGACCTAAAACTTTACTTTCAAGAAATCGACGGGCGTCATACCTCTTGATGTGGAAAGGCTTTCGACCGCGTATGGCAAGAGGATCTGCTACGCAAACTAGCGCATTAGGTTCTCTCTTAGCCCTCTACAGCATACTAGCTTCATTTCTACGCGGACACCCCCCGAGTGAGATTTGGGGCTGCGCCGTCGGCATACCGTCGACTGACAGCTGGTGTTCCCCAAAGCTCTCTGCTCTCGCCCCTACTCTTCACGCTATATATGCGAGATATCCCACCTTCTGCGAGCCCTCCACCCACGTTGCACTTTATGCTAATGACACTGCAGTTTATCCGTCCTCAAAGAGCCCCTCAATATTACAGCAATACCTGCAGAAATTATTTGGAAACATTTGCCAACTGGTGTAGACAGTGTAAAGTAAACAATGGAAGAAGAGCAAAGCAATCTTCATCTCAAGAAGATGCATCACGCTACCCTCACCTCTAACCCTCGAAGGTGTTAAGATCCCAAGGGGGTCGCAGGCCAAATACTTGGGAATCCTCATCGACAAGCGACTAACTTGGAGGCAACACTTATAGTTCGTTTACGACGAAAGTCAAGGCAGCAAATCACGCACTCCACCCGCTACTGCGTGCTAAATGCGCAATGTCCCGGCTCAATAAACTGCGCCTTTATAAAGTATGCTTGCGCCCTGTTATAGCCTACGCAGCTATTGATTGGACATATGATAACCGTCGACGATTGCACCCCTCCAGACGCAGCAACACAAGCTCCTGCGGCTAATGACCAGCGCACCCTATTTCGTGCGGAACGATACGTTACTTGACAACATGGGTTTAGAACGACTTGAAGTCTTTTTCCGAAATGCAACTTCTGTCTCTTTTGAATGTGTTAGTGAGCATCCAAACTACAGTAGATTCAAGAACTTACATATGAACCCTGGAGAGGCGCACAATTACAGTTCTGTTGTACCTTTAACACATGTAAAAAGTTTATTGCGAGATGACCTGCCGAAACGGAATACGATCTAACCTAATAATAAATATTTTCGTGATTAAGCAGTTTGCTCTCGACATTACCGAGCATCTGCACTGTTCATTAATAAATAAAAATAATAATAAAGAGAGGGTGGGGCTCCTCCCTCTTGGTGAGGAGCTCATAGTTGGCGAGGTCAAGCTGGCAGTGGTGTTGGTCGGTGTCACCCCGGGTTTCGGGTCTTAAGTCTGAGGCTGCCTCTCCCGGTGGTGGCTTTTAGCGGTTTTCCACGACACTAGGCCAAATGGCGGGGGGTTGGGCACGATATTTTCCGCTTTTTGAGTCTTTCGGGACAGTTACTATAGCTTTCTAAAGAACGTACACTGGTAGCACTCGTGCCCCAACCCCCTCAGAAGAGGAGAATTCAGATTAAGCGGCTTAAGGTCCGAAGAAGACAGGTCGAAGTATACCAGTGCTGTAAAAGAAACAAATGCGGAGGGTTTTTTCACTTTTAGTTGGTTTTTTTGGCTTGTAGTTGTTCGCTGAGTGTTTTACCCTTTCTCATTTATTATCTACGGCGTGTTAATTAGCCCATAAATATTTCAACAATATGTAATTGAGAATATTCCCTACATTTTTTAATTTTTCAAAAAGTTCATAAGTTATATGTATAAATACGATACAAATCTATAATAAAGTTAACTACTATTACTTTAATTTTATGATTATTCTGGTATGCTCTTGGAACCATAAAGTTTCTTTATATTTTTTTGACCTGTAAAACAGCATTTAATGCTTCACCTAAAGGGGGTTAAGGCGCCCCCGTATTACGACTCGTAAATGCGCTCTCTCCCCTGGTGCCTAAATAGCTGGTCATAAAGAGCAGTGGCATTGAAAGGAAAAAGTTTTGTCGTACTTGGTGTGCCGTGCTATTGCCGTGGAGTCAGAGACACAAGCAGCAGAGCGCGTAAGTTATTATAGGCGGGATGCAAGATGAATAAAATTGTGTTACGCATAGGAAAGAGTAAAGCGTCCTTAGTCGCCTTAAACTTTGCCACTACGTAGTCCACGGGCGGTCGGCACCGAATTAATGTCTGTAATGACTCTCAGCTATTTCGCTTGTAAGAACCACGGAATCTTCATGTCGTCGACGGTTAAGGGTACCACGCGTTTTTCCTTCGTTTTAGAAAACGCTTTGCTTTTCGTCACAAATATAGCAACTTTCCATTTTCGGCACCAGACGGCAAGCGCCTTAATGCTGGCACAGCAAGGAAGGCATCTTAGACGTTGAGTGGATCGTTGTCTTGCGAGGAATGGAAAGGACACATTGTGCGCATAAATTACGAACAGTTAAGGGCTCTTAGTAGCTCAGCGAATAAGAGCATTAAAGCGCATACTTAAGATTATGGGTTCGACTGCTACCAACACAATAACTCTAAATCCCGGTATTAAGGCTTTACTTATTTAACCTATTACAGTACTATCCACTCGCCTAGTTAGTGCTGTTGATGGTGGGTACTGAAATTGCGATGAAGAGTAGAGCAAGATTTTTTCATTTTTTTGAGAACAAAGATGAAAAGAAGTAAAAAGGATCTAATAATATTAACCAGCCGTTTCGGCTGTATTTATAAGAACATAAATTTTTGAACTTAAAGTGGTTTTTTATAATAATTGTTATTCAAAAATGGTTTATTATGTTTTATTAACCAAGTTTTCCTGTACTATATATGGTCATGATCTTTAACGGCAAGGTGGTGCAATACTTAGGGACTTGTTATTTGTACGTTCATTACGTAATTGTCATTTCAAGACAACAATTGAAGCATTGTACTGTACCATTATTATTGACCTCTAGTAAGTTATATCGTAACCCAAGGTTTAGTTACTTCACTATACATTCTGTCAATTGTGAAATAGGCCTCTGATGCCCGGTTCCAGAGCTTGTCAGTGATGGCTTCCTCGCTTTAAGTTTCACAATACAAGCTGTAAGCGTCATGCGAAACGCTGTTATACATAAAGACCTCAAACTGGAGACTCTACGAATGACTAACCAATTACATCGTCTGTTAGCGGGCGAACTTTCTTGCAAGCTCTTGGTATAGTCTTCTATTGCAGCCCGCGTGCTGTGCTGTTAGCTTTTTATTTTATTAAGTCAGCTACTGCTGAGCTAACTAATTACGCTCGCAAATAGGTGTCAAATTAATATTAATGCGGAAAGAAGCAGAGCATTTCTATTGACGAAGTACCGACCATCACTGCCGATGACCTTTAAAGGGGAAATATTTGGGTTATAAGGAACAATAAACTGCCACAGCAACGCACGTTAACTATGTACCGGTGAAGGTACTAGCCGCAGCAATCTATTACTTGCAGAAAAGCTGAGTTACCAACCATGGGACGGCGCAAACTATTGACATCCGCACTATGCTCTCCTAATACTAATAATATCATAGTTAGGGTTAAGACTGAAGGTTAAAGTATTAAACTGTAATTGCTTTAATGCAAACTTATAACTTTTTTTTTAACCCTCTTTGTCGGTTATCTATTTGTTGAAAGCTCGAAAGTTCATTGTTTGTTGATCTCGGTCGTCACCAGGAAAATCATACCAATGCGAAAGGGAAAGCCCATTAGGCGAAAGGCAATTTATTACGTCCATTCTAAGCAGTCAAGCCATCAGAAGCGTGATTAGTACAGCGATGGGAAAACACTCGATCCTACAGCGTTAAGAATAGTTTGTATAACAGAAGTACTCGAAGTAGATTTACTTAATCGAGAATCAGGAACAGTATTTTACAAATTAATAATTAGTGATAGTGTAGATCTTGTAATTATAAAGCTTGAAATATTTTTAGTGTTGCAAGAAGGTCTTTTCAAGTTGTCCGTTAGACTTTTAATGTTGGGGCGCTCTGTTTCAGTGAAAGGACTTAATTCCCTCAGGGGGAACCCTTAATTTTAGGTGATACCAATAACTTTCCAGGCTCTTCTAATTTCCATTTTTGTTTCTATTTCATAGACGTTTATTGTGCGTATTAATAGTCAAGAAGGTGGAGTTACGGAAAAAATATTATTTTTTTTCTTACCACGCCAAACAGTGGATGCCCACTTGAGGGACAGGAAATAGTTTTTAAGGCATTGAGTCTTAACAATTGTGAAATATTTTCAAGCCTTAAACCGACTAGGTAATTTAACATCAAAGAACATTTTAAGTTGTTAATCTTATTAAATTATAGTACGTTTTTCTTTTTTACTACCTCCTAAGCCTTAAGAAAAGCTAGGTCTGCGCTTATATAGTATATACTAGGAAATAACATTATTTGTAGAATTGGTTTTTTTTATTATTAATTTGATTTCATACCAAACACACTGTAATGTTTCGAGTAAAAAAAAATAGGTTGGAGCCTTTGAATTTTTAGTGAAATAAATTTTTTTTTAATAATGGTATTAGACTAATAAAAAAATATATAGTTAAAAACCAATTTTTTTTTGTTTTTAATAAGAATCTTTTTATTAATATTCAGGTTGTATAACCTAATATATTACCTTTGTGTAACGAATACAGTAACAATATATCAGAATTTTTGTTGCGCAGGGAAGCTGTACACGTAACCACTAAAACTAGAAATTTGTGGCACCGAAGGGAATCGTATGCGACGAGATTGTGAGACAATGCTCTTACCACAGAGCTACGGTGACAACTCACATCGAAAAATTACGTGTAGAACTTTTGTTACAATATAACAACCATAAAAGGAAGTAAAAAATTAAGCAGGCTATTAGAAATGCTAAGTTTTGAGTAATAGAATTCCGGCTGAATGGCAGGCTTTTCAGCATACTGGCGTGAAAGTCGTTTAAGCGAGATATTTGGCTTAGAGGATAATAACATATATGAAGCACTTTTTAACATGCTTCTAAAAATAATTTAAGAAGTAATATCAAGACGTCAGAAGGATAAAGAAATGCGGGTAGGTTGTTTATAAACCATCTTAAAAAAGTTTAATTTTATTAATTAGAGAGGGAGAAAAAAAGAACCCGAGAAACTGAAAACTCAAATATCTAGAAAAAATGAATATCGGACTGATAGTTTTCTTCGAGTGTTTAAAATAATCTTTTCCAAGGCTTTAGGTTGTCTTTTTCTATAATTTAGTCATTGTTCATTAATTTACAATTTTAGCTAATCTTTCTGTATCCTATTTAACCCTGGGATATCTTAAAGTAGCAATTTGGCTTCTCTTTTGGGGATTTTTTTTCGAAAATGACTTTGGTTTGCCATTTTTTTGTGTAAGTCTCGTTATTTTTATGATTATGAACACGAGAAAAAGAAAAAAAAAGGAAAAGTTAAGCGCCTATTCCATTTATAATAAAAATTATGAAAAACTGGCAGGATCAACCAGTTACCAATTTTAAATAAATTTAAAAGAGAGATATTATTTATCTTTTATCGTGTAATACCCAAGGTAGTTCACAGACTATTAAAAAGTCATTCGGTTTTTTTTCTACTTTTTTAACGGCATACATTTGAAAGATCACTGCTTACTTTGCAATAAGTTTAAATTTGCCGTTAAGCTTTCCTCGAGAACAACCTTTTCAACAAGTTATTTACTTAAAATAAACGAAATGTTTTTTAATTTTTAAGTAACACAATCCTTCATAAAACAAATAACATAGAAGGTTTAAGGTTGCTAAACTAAAAAAAAACTTAATTTACACCTTTAACCAAATTTTTATAAAGGTTTGATAGTTATGCCCAGAAAATAGGATTAAAATGCCTTTTATTTCACTTTTTTGTATACAGTTGATCTTAAGTTAAGTCTTTACAAACTGAGAGAGCTAGGAGACTTTTATTTATTTTTAACTCTTTTTTAGTTTTTTCACACTTACAATATTGTAAATTGAAAGCTTCTTTCAAGCTACTTTCAAAGTCCACTCTTTTAATTTAAAACACCTAAATTATATTTTTTTATTAGTGTTTTTATAGTTGCTTTTAAAATTTGGATTAATAAGTGTTCAAAGAACGAGTTAAAATTATGTTAAATAGTTAATAAATACGTAGATTTTAGAAAATCAAGAGCTTGCTTGCTGTGCATGTTCTTGTCCTACATTTAATGGTCATCCTCTATTTTATTAAAATAACAGCGATGTTCTTAAGGTCTTGAACTTATTAAAAGCTTAAAGAAATAGTTTGCAATTGCTGATAAAAAACCAATTACGTCCTTCGGCAAGCCAGAATTGAGGGTTTGCAGTGACCCAAAACTGATTCCCTACTTTTTAAGGATTAGAGACTAGGTTGAACGCAAAGTATCATGCAAGTAATATTTTCATTCTTACCTTTACTAATTTTGCTATACAGTAACAATTTATCATAATAATAAACTACATTTCTTTTGTTATTTATCTAACTTAGTACCTCGGAAATACGGTTTTGTAAACTGTAATATCAATCTCTTAATCTTTTAGGCAAATTAAAATCTCCAAGAAGGGCCGTCTCATAATTAATTTCAGTAAGCTCCGTTGTATGAAGTGCATCAACTTTACTAAAAAAAGCTGCTCACACACCACTTACTGAGAACCAATAAAATTTTTGTTATTAAACATTAATAAATCAAGGCGATTGATATAGTTATTTTCATGTTTTCTAATTAAAAAATGCTTTTGAATTTTCTTAAAGCTAATAATTAAACCTTAAGTTGCTGGTATTTAACCTTTACACATTGGTATTTAAGTCTTTTGAAATTAACTGTAAAAAGATATACATAAAGTACAGATGTACGGAGGAGGCCAAGCCTAAAGCGCAGAAAAAAAATAATGCGACTCGTTTATTTGAAGTGAATATTTCTTATAAGCTAAAGCAATCTTTAGAATAATCATAAAAATTGACTAAAATTGATATTTCGCGTTAAAATTAAACTGAATTCTTATCTTCAATATTAACCTCTATAATAAAATAATTAGGGGCACCCTTGACTTATATGAAGGGTGGGGTAAGGGGCCCGGGAAGGTCTGGCTGGGAGCAGTTGCTGCCCGGTGTTTTCGGAGGGCGCCTCAAACTTTATAATAAGATTTACCTCTCATGGCTGTACTTTTTAGCGGTCATTCACCACCCCTGCACTTTAACTGAATAGGGAAATTTAAGACCCGATATGTCTCTGTGGTAACAATAAAAACTAAAAAAGAAGAGGTCTTTTATACATCGGGTGGCGTTACTTATTCATTTACAAAACTAATGAGTGTTATGAGATATATTTATCTCCATACTTATTTTATTACTCCTTATTGAAGAGGTTCTGCTAGCCTAAATTATGAAGGGAGAGTGCTTTCTTATATACTTTCCAAGAATTAAATTTTCAAAGGCATATATTCAGTCAGGTAATTTATTAGGAGTCCTTCTTTAACGAAGTGAAAAGCAAGATTAGTATGCCTCACCCTATTATTATTTGAGGCCTCACCTTTTAACTTATCTCATTTCTGTCTTGTTACCTGGGTAAACTTCAAATTTTGATAACCTTAATTAGAGCTAGGTAAACAGTTTCTTGTTTTGTCCTTTTTAAAGTAGTGGTAAGGATAACTATTAGTTAGTATAATGTATCCCTAACCCTAACCCCTAACTCCGCTAAGATTCTATACCCGTAACAACCAGCCGGCAAGGGGTCACAGTAGCGCTTAAGTAATCTGAGCATGCTTATTCCTGTTATTTAAAAGTGCTCGGTTTTTCATGTGAAAATATAGTTCAACGTTCTAGGTGAGAGTTTCATGCGCTCTCCGTTATTACGGTGGCACAAAAGACATATCGCAGAAAATACAAAACAATATAAACAAAAACAAAACATGAACCACCTAAATTTCCTTAAAAAAATGCAAAGTACCTGGAAACCAGCTAATAGAAATACAGGAAAAGCAAATTAATTTTCTATCGTATACAAAGTAATTTGATCTACTTTGTTAAGTGGATACAAAATAAACAATAAAAAAAAATGTTTTATAAAAACTAATCTGGTACAATTAAATTTATTATGGGTGCCTTTTTTGATTTTCAATGAAGGTACAAATACAGACCGGCCTTTATATGATTCTTTCCCTAATATTTTTTTATATCCTCTTCCGTATATAACATTATACACTTTATTATTTTACTCAATTACACACATATAATTATATATATTAATAAATTCTTACATGTATATATCTTTTAAAAACAACGTTTTTATACAAATTCCAAAATCACACTATCAACAATATATCTTAAGAAACCATTTAAATATAGCTACGTTGTCCCTCCATCAGTATGGGTTAAAGCGTAGCGCACAAAGAAGTAGGGTAAAAATAGCTTTCAGTTATCTTCATTCTACAGAATATTTAAAGTTGTTAAGCATCGAAGTTTTAATTTATTAAATAAAGGATTAAGTTCTTTGTTAAATTCCCCTATAATACACTCCCTTAATAAATGAGAAAAAAATTATCGTATATTATCAGCTAAAACACAGTCATTAGTCACCAGCAGAAATATTTAAGTTAGTAACTACTAGTAGGTTATTTTTACTCATTAATTGTTTTCAGATAATAATCGAGCTTGTTAAAACCGTCGGTAAATCTTCATTAAATAGTATATTTGAATTCTTTAAGCCGTCAAGAGCAACTTCAAATTTCAAAGGGTGTTTTATTGTTTGTCCGTGTTACTAATAAGTTTATTGTAAGTAGTTTATTAATCATGAAGTGCATGCCTTGTGGTATACGTACATAAACTTGTAAGTAGGCCGTCGTTACATAAACTGAGTGATTGGTATTTTTAATATTGTAAGAAGCAATTATAACTATAGATTTAAAAGGACATGAAAGAAAACTTCTTGACGAGCGTTGCCTCGCATTTATTGGACGAACAAATATGTTTAGCTTAACAAATCCTCCTTTAAAACCTTGGATTGCAAGTCAGTGGTGATTGCATAATTCCAGGTTTATCCTAATTTTCGTCGAAGCTTGTCTTTTTAAAACTTTAACAGATGAATTATACAATTTAGTTTGTTTGGAGACTCCGTGGGTTTATTGTCGATTTTTAAGTTAAACTCGAATTATGTAGTAGGCCCTTTGTCCCAGGAACTTTACACTATATTCTTTGTTATGTAACCATCTGGTGATTAATATTCTAACTATCTTCTGTTTTTAAGGTTTCTAAAATTTCCCCTTACTAATTTTGTACCCTGGCAAGGTTGTATTATTATAGTTAAGAGTGTAATCTTGGTGTTTTGTTTAAGCTATATAGTGAGTGTGTCGTTTCTATTATAGGATTGCGGATGTGTTTAGATCACTTAAAGTAAAAGTGCTCTTAATTTTTATAGTTACTGTTTAATAAGTAGCCCTTTTGAGTATTTCTATAGGTTTGACATAAGTTAAGCCCTGTAAATCCCGCCAGTGTGGTAGTCACAATCCTATGCCATTTTTGGTCTTTTAATTAAAAACTACATCTTAGCAGCATGTTCGCTTTTTGGCCCTTGTAATTGGTTTCGAGGGCTCCTCTTTTCATTACAGTTGTTGTTACTGTCAAAGTTATAGTAAAATTTACCATTTTTTGTTCCTTTTATAATATTTTTAATCGGGTTACCACTAGGAGCTGTGTTGTTAGGTATAATTTGCGTGATTGTATCAGTAATAGCATTTAAGAAGGTTGCCCTAGGTATGATGTGTTGCCGTATTCACGTGATTTGAATTTTATAATATAATGAAGTAGAATCTAATAATAATTTTAAAAGAAAAGGTTTATGTAGTAGACTGCTTTTGGAACTACATAGTAAACAGTCTAAGTTTAAACATAAATATTGCCTAATGATGGCAATATGTGTTTATAATATGAAGCTGGATTTAACTCTTAATAATTAACAAAAAAAAAATTCTTTAAAAGCTTTAAATTATCAAAGAAAATAAATTTTTATCTCAATATTGATCAAATACTGCCCGTTAATTTTGAATGGTTTGTGACAAGAACTGAGAGATCCAATGAAAAAAGAAGAAGCCTTGCTTTTAACACCAGAAAAAGGTCCTTGGTAGCTTTTGAAACCTTCTATTATTGTTTCGATTGCGGTAGTTTCTCTCTACTAAGTAAAAATGGGTGATACCACTAGATGTTTTTTAAAAGAGTTAAGAGTTGAATGCACCAGTATTTATTAAATCTCTCTTCCAAAGGAAATTTTAATTTATATATATAATCTCTTTGATTAAAAATAGAAGAAACCTTGAATTTTTTAAAAAAACACCTTTCTTAGTCTATAGGTCTAAAATGTTTCTGTTTCGTCGATTTTACATAATAGAAAAACATTTACTCTAATTTACTAAATTTACATTCATCTCGTAGAGTTTGCCCACTTTACATTAAGGGTTTAATATATATTTGAAGGGTATGCACAATGAGAGATGTTAATTAAAGAATGCTTGAAGCCGTAACGTAGAAAGGCTAAGCGATATATCGGTAAGATTAAAATAAGACTAAAAAATTAGATCAAAGTTATATAAACTTAAACATAGAGGCAATTAAGGTTAAAAAAAATTTATAATACAAATAGAAAAAACCATAGAAGGATAGGAAATTTAGGAAGGATAGAAGAGGAGTGCCGTAAAGACAAAACTCAACGCCAGGAAGGTGCTGATAGCATAATAATTATGAGTTAGCCAGAAGAACCAGGTCCATTTTGGTTTGGGTGACCACATATATTCATTAGATAGTTTTATAAAATTAAAAAAACAATATTTTTATGAAATATATTTTACAAGTGTCTGTTAGGTTTTAGCTTGCATGACTCCACTGACCTCTTCGGGAAAGTAAAACTTTCACAATATTCAACAAATAACGCTTTGAGGTAGCCAGGGAACAAGCGATGACTGGTAAGCATCTTTTTTGTCTCATGCGTGGGTAATAGCTATTCAGTTACAATGCTAGAGAAATATAAGAGTCTTAAAAAAATTTAAGAAAGAGATTAAAAAAAAAGGAAGGCCAACATTACAAATCTCGATCAGCGCTCATTCTAGATACTGCGGCTCGTGTCCATGGCAGTAATACAATTAATTAGCTTAGCTGGTCATGAACTATGTACTATAAAAAAATTACTTAATAATAAACAAAAAATTCTTCCAAACTTTTTTTGATAGAAAAAAGGTCATATCTAACCCTAACTTTAAGCCGAACTAGTTAAAAATGTTTTACAAATTTCGATGACAATAGAGCATACTTTTTAAATAAGACTTTAATTTAAAGAATAAAAAAGTCAACTTCATGCAAAATTTATTTCAAGAAGAGTAATAATCAGGTTTTCACTGCTTTAACTATGTAATGGACTACGTAAGGGGCACCCTGTATTTATAAACTTTTACTATTGTGTAAACCTCTTAAACCTTTAAAATAAGACCAAAGACCATTTAGTTGCAAAACAACGTAATCTCTGTCAATTTTGTTAATTAAATAATATAATCGACATTGATTCTATACCGCATTTAAAAGCTTTCAGGTCACCTATATTACGTCAATACCTTTATTGTAATACAAAATTAAATGACATATACTATTATAGGACTATCGACACTGATATTGGGCTTTTGGTGCAATAACTAAAAAGTTTAAACACAGCCGTTATTATAGAAGTAGGATAGTCAAAAATACAGAATTTCAGATACTGCTTTATACGAGGGTCTTTAAAAGATTGGTGTAGCTTACGTCACCTTTTTAACCAACCATAATAAATAAATTAAAGATTCAATGTTACCGGCCGCTTTTAGTTTTAACTCTATTACTGCTATATAAATAAATAGTCACAGAACAAAAACTAAACAAATATTTTCAAACGGTATATCGAGATCGAGTTAACTAAATAATGTACTCAGATTTCTTAATTGTCACTAATTAAATTTCTGTTATAGGTACAGTAATACTAAATGTATTAATCCAATAAGAAAATGCAGGAACCAAAGTGTACCTACTATATTACTAGCACACACAGGATAAAATTTCGGGGTTCAGAAAAACAAAGTTATCGATAAAAAATAGTAATTAAACAATTTAGAAAAAAAGTCCCAAAAGATGAAGACAATAATATATAATTATATATAGCCGATAAAATTATATAACTTGAATAGAACTTAATTCAATATTACACTCTATAACAAAGAAAGGTAACCAAGAATAAGAAAACTAATTAAAAATTCTTATGGAAGACAGAGGTATTACTATGTAACATGTGCGAAACCTGCTTTCCCCATTAGATAATGATGCTCTTTATTTAAGTAAAAACAGTAAAATATAACCATAAACTTCCTTTCTTTGAACCATCACAACTTATAGAAAATATAAAATTAATGTGACTACACATATTATCCCTATATCTCATATATTTTCTTAACTCCTTTCAGCTTTTGCCTAGATATTGATACTCTTAACTTGACAAATTGGAGTCTCCAAAAACCATACAAATGACAAAAAAGCATCATGCAAAACTGAGTTGGCAGGCTTTTTTTTTAGCACTGACATACTACGGCCATTCTTCTTCAGACCTTAAGCCGCTTTATCTGAATTCCCCTCTTCTGCGAAGGTTGGGGCACGAGTGCCCCCAGTGTACGCTCTTTAGAGAGCTATAATAACTGTCCCTTAAAAGCGGAAATACAGGGTCAGGACACCTGCCCTTCTGACTAGTGCGGTGCAAAACCGCTAAAAACCGCCACTGGGAGAGACAGCCTCGAGACACTGACCAGAATTACTGCCCGGTTATGAGCCCCTCACCCAGAAGGGAGGAGCTCCTTAACAATATAGAGACAAATAAACTTGAGTCCCAACATGCACCAGTATTGGTCTATTCTGCGCTCTGAAAAGTGAATCAGCTCCACAAACTCTGCTTCTCTTCTACGTCTTTTTAAACTTTACATCCAAAAAGATCAGTTGAACAAAGCACAACAAAAGATACGTAATTTACCTCTAAAAAAATCTTATATAAAATTTTAATATAAACCTTGATTTTTAGGCTGAAAAAAAAGTATGTCTATATAAAAGAGCTTACCTGTGGTACAAGCAAATGTAGATAGTACCATTTTGGAAGATCAACGCAAAGTGCTTTAAAATATTAAGTGTGGTGTTAAACTGGATAGCTTATTATTATTAAGTCAATGTATTTAGATTAAAGTGTACTTACAACTTAAAATTATTATTTCGCAACCAATTGATGAAAATTTTATAGAGTGGCTTCCTGTTTAATTTTAAAGTTTTAGTATAAAAGAAAATATTGTAAAACTTTAATAACGTGAAATATATTAACTGAGGGTTTTTGATATTATAAAACAGTGTGATACTTTTAACAGTAAGGTACAATCATGATTTATATATATACTAGTTGATTTTACAAGTCCAGAATTTATAAAATTAAATATCATAGACAGATAAATATAATTATTTAGCTTACTCTACAAAAATATGTCATAACCAACCTCAACTTAAAAAATGGTCGCTGTGGCACCTGCGAAACGGTTCGTGCGCATATTGCCCTAAAAATACGCCAATTTTTAAGAAAAAAGGTCATGTTGATCAACATAGTGGCCGGCATTAATATCGCTAGCAGCAGCAATGTTAAACTCAGCTTCGGCTCTTCTAAGTCTTTAAACTCACCGAAGCCGGGTAACATTGATCGAAAACGTTGAAGCAGACGTGGAGAAGCGGGCTCTACAGGCGTCCTAGCAGATTGCCCACAACTGGGCTGTATAAAATTTGCTGGGTATGATTAAGCTCTGAAACGATGTCTCCGGCGTACCAATATAACTCTGAAATTGTAATTCCATCAAGATAGTTTGAATAACCTGCAGGACACCTCTGGGATTGCTGACCAGAGCAATAATAATATCGACAAATACTTATAATAGTTTTATTTTACTACTTTACTTAATCTATCGAATTAACCACAACTTTAAAACCGAACACCCGATTAATTGGTTATAAGGGTACATAAATTCGAAAGAAGGTATTAAACTACCATTAATAAATAAGTGGCTCGAGCTATCTTTTTTGGGTAACTAAATCTCTGAATTCTTACGTTATTACAGTGAGTGGCTAATCCATGTGGGCCCTCTCACTGGCCGATGAAAGTTAACAACATTTCTTAGTTAACTCTTCTAAGGGTGCGCTATAATGGCCGCTGGTGAGCAACATCTCCAGTCCTTCTCTCAGCTACTTGGAAATTTTGAAGGCTTATTAAAAGAGTTGAAGTTATCGGTCACTGTACTCAATCTATTTTTTTTTTTACGTATAGTATCTAGTCAACCCTTTTTGTGTTTTTTTAAGTGTAAGCTAAGCAACTTTTATGACTTTGCAGAACTTTGCTACTAAAAAAGATGAGGGTGCATATGACCAGTTTGCGAAGGGAATAGACTACTTGGATGTAAAAGTGCAACTTCTTTTGAGCTACTGTGTAAAAATAGTTTTTTACTTATTACTGAAATTGGAGGGGAAGCCCGTTAAAGTGCACTTTTTCCTAAAACTTATTCTTATCATTACTAAATAACTTATTATACAACGAGGACCATCCTTTGGTCGAGTCTCTTATATATACAAGAATTTTACTTGAAAAACTGCAACCTTTAGACAGGAAGTTAAGGTACTACGTTGACAAAACCATTCAATCTGCCGTTTTGGGTAAGTATTTTTTCCCCTTTTCTTAATAAATTTGCTTGGAGATTTTTTGTTAATACTTGTTAGGCGCTACTTTTCAATCTGATCCTTTGCTGTATAAACCCAATCCCCAATCCCTTGTTAGTAGATATTCTCAACCAACTACCACGGATTCTGAGGATGTACAGGGCTCTGGTGTGTATGTACCCCCAAAGATTTCAGCCGTCTATTTGGAATGTGCGTCATTTTATTTTCATTGTGGTTTGATACAAACAGTTTATTGCGAGTTTTGTATGTAATGGTAGCCGAAGATAAAAATCATAAAGTAAAGGAACAGGAAAAAAGATTGGAAAAACTTCGAGCTACTTCTGTTTATCAGGAGCTGCGGGAAGAGTTTAGTGAGCTTCCAAAAGAACTGAAGGTGACTGCGCTTGCTGTTTTAATTTCTTTCTATATTTTTAGCTCCGTTCTTTTCAGGACTTTTCTGCTATATCTGTAGGCTCTCTCTTTGATGGTCACGATGCGCTAAAGAGGTGTTTCTATGAACTTTGTCTTAATTTTTTATTTATTCGATAGTTTTATTATTCAAAGATCGCAATACGAAGAAGAAAACTATATACGTCTACCAAAAACAAAGAAAGATAAAGTCACTCAGCGAAATGTTTACCACAGGTATACTTTATTGATCTTAAAATATTATAGTTTTCTAATTTATTTTTAGAAACGAATACGAACAACTTTTGGATTTTGGAAATTTTTCTAAACTTTCTATGGATAATCAGAAATTCAAGAGTTTTAGTCCCTCACTAAAAAGGTTTTTATTCAAATATATTGTGCGCTATACAGTACTCTATTGTATGAGTTATTGATAGGAAAGATCTTCACCCTGAAGTTCGACCCTCTCGAAGTAAAAACTCAAAAAAAAATATTAGATTTACTTATAAATAAATGTTTTTTTTATTTTGTTGTTTTTATTAATGAACTAATAGCATTACTCCATTTGCTTCAATGGAACGACTTTCTAAGTAGCTTTTTACAGTTAAGTAAATTTGTAAAGTAACGTCAACTTTTCAAAAAGGAAATAGAAAGTTGTCAGCGCGATAAAAGGCGAACTATTACATCGTATGCATGACTTTCTATTGGAAAAGTGTCTTTGTTTAAAGTTTACAAAAAGTTATAATAATTGAGGTACAATTTGCACAGTAGCGATCCTTTTAAAAATTATTTCTTGAAGTTTGCCCTCGTATGGTGGAGAGCAGTTGCTCAACTCGTCTTGCAATCTTTTTAGTTTTACACTGCTTAACAAAACGCGTTAACTTTAGTAATTGAAATTATCAGAGTAAGTTAATATTAGGTCTATAACTAGCCAACAATATTTAGTGTAAAATTATTATTGTTCTAATAGTTTTTAACCTTGAAGAAAATGACTGTACTTCTGCCCAATAAACTTCAAATTCGAGAATCTTTGCTTTTCTATTTTAAATTGAAGAAATTTGCTGCTGAATCTTTTCGACGCTTGTGGAGAACTTCCTCTATCAGACACGACACGCAGGGAATGGTTTAGAATTTGAAAGTGGTGAATATGAGACGAGCAATAAAGAACGTCCAGGGCAGCAAAAATAGTTAGATGACACAAAACTCTAAGCATTAAGAGATGAAAGTTAAAGCCAAACGCAAAGTCAACTTGTCGAAACGTTGAAAGTTACCTAAGCGGCCATTTCCAAACAAATAAAAGCTGTGGGAAAGGTATTCAAGGAAGTAAAGTGGGTACCGCAAGAACCAAAAGAGATATCGAAAGAAAAAAACTATCTTCAAAATTCTGCTAATCAAATAAAAAAATTTAAGTTGAATTATGACTGGCAATAAAAAAGGATCTATTTCGATAACTCCAAACGTTGAAAAACTATTTGCGTTCCCAAGACAACCATCAACCTCAATGCCAAACGTAATATACATGGAAGGAAAACCACGCTTGTGATACATGGCCAACCAGTCACAGGGAATCTCTATTGAGTCAAGCATTGCGTTAAAAAAGATCAGTCTAAAACTAGACAGCGTAAAGCAGTCTTGCTTCTTGATAACGCTCGACCCCACGTCACCGGAAACACTCCGCTGGTGCTACCCATGCGGTTTATCTACCAGACTCTGTCCCTTTGACTATCACCCGTTTCGGTCAAAGGCACACGCGCTTGTTGTAAAACACTTTGACTTGTATGTTTTTCCTAGGACGGCACTATCGCGGTGGTGGGTATAAAAGCGTAAAATATTTATACCCAAGATAGGAGTAAATGTATTTATTAGGCAAATTATATGATATAACGGATATAGTAATTAAGCTGCCCCTCTATACCACAACACGTTCCACGGAAAACAAGGAACAGAAAAAATTAAATCCTACTCTCGCCGGGGGTGTGCTATCTCTATATTCCATTATATGCTAATTAATGAACGCATTTGGCTAACCTACCAAAACGTCGAAAAATAGGTCTCTGAGAGGATAGCTTTAAAGATGAGGTTTTTCGGAGGGGCCCGCTTGTTAAAAAGATGGAAAAAAGTTTTATTGAACGCTGGCCAATTTTTTTTTTTAAAGTTTTTTTATTATTATTTTTTTGTGAATAAAGCGGGTTTCAAGTTATAGACTTTTATAATTGCCGAACTTGCTCTGCTTACGGCCCGCCTCTTAGTGCAACCCTTTTAGTTTGTAGTCGTCATGCTATTTTCCTAACTTTTGATTCTAACTAAATCAGCTTTAGTGCCTTTAGTTCCATTCGAAACATTTACTATAACGCAATGCCATTAATACTGTCCAGTTCCTCTCGAAAGTGACTTTTATAAAAAGAGTATAGGAAGAAGAGTATATTCACAATCTTAGTTTTACAGTTTTTTTCACTCTATGTTGACAAACTGTATTTATAAGATAAAAAGTGTAATAAGTGCCTTATTCTAAAAATGTCAACTGTGGGCGTTTAGATCGTCTTTAAAAACAAAATATCTATTTAGCTGGTAGAGAACAGGTAGCTCATAGAAGTTATTTAAAAATAAGCCTTAGCCAAGGAGGTCTAGTTATATATCGTTGAACTTTTAACAAATGATGAGGTTAATAAAATTCTCTGTCTTTTTTTATTTGGCGTCAGTTTATTTATAGGCGTAATAAGACAGTTTGGCCTTATTAACAGGCTCAGTGTACCAGGTTCTTAGAAATATATTCTGGGTTATTAAGATCTTGCTTAAATAATATTATACTTTTTAGTGCTATAAGTTATTCTGCACTTTGTTTTATTCCACAAATTTACGTTTATTAACATAGTAACAACACTCGATTAAAACCAGTGGTTTTTTTAAATAAAGTAGCTGTGAAATAGGTAATCTTTTGCCTAGCTGAATAGAACTTAATGATATGGGTTGCGTTGGAAATCCTTAGCGATCTAAAGCTACGGGACTAGCGTCTCTCTATTGGAATTAAATATCTACCAAATAAACGCTGTTTGTCGAAGTCTCAAGTATCTAGATAGCTTATGCTACAGGTACTTGCCTGAAAACGAGGAATTTATATAAAAATTAAAAGCTTAAGGGTTACATTTCAAATATATGCAACGAAAGTTTAAATATACAATAAATAAATAATTACAAATATATTATGGGGTAGATTAATTTAAAAATTGTTCTAATGGCCGTACAAGCATTTTGGTCACACTGAAAGTAGCCCTTCTCTTTGCGAGTACTTGAGTAGAGTAAAAATGGTATGAAGACCCTGCTTCGATTCCTTTCCCCTCCGGCGAAACAACAGTTTTTACTAACCTCGCCGTTCAACTTTTATTTTTGCCCTTCTGACTTACTCGCGTTGCGTATTAACGAGGCAGTCGCAGGAGGCATTCAACGGCTATGGGCGATCAAGTAAAACAAATTCAGGCCCTTCCTCCTACACATCCTTTATATCCCGGCCCTAATCTTCAAGATACCACAAGTATCAATTTGGCTTCCACCCATATTAAAGTCGGACCCCTAAATACGCGACCTCCCTCACAAACAGTTCAAGATAGAATACCTTCAAATATTAAACTTAACGCGCGACCCTTTCCACCGTCTTCTTTTACTTTAGAAAAAGCCGAGACTATTGAGGACGACCCATCTGCCTCTATAAACGCTCAAAATGGTCACTTAATTTTCTTTTCCAGTCCTGCTAATTTAGAACAACATATAATTTATAGATAGCGGAAAAAAAAGATCCACTAAAAAAAAAGTTAGAAAAGGAGCTGATAGACAACTCCCAGCCAAAATTATAGAAGAACTGCCCGAATCGGGTTTTATACCGACCGTTTATATGTACAACGTTATTTAAAACCTTTTTTTATGGTGTATTTATAGCATTATATAATAAATTACTTGACCTCGAAAAACGAATCGACTATACAATTTTCCGTAAACGACTTGAAATTCAAGATGCCTCAAGAAGCCCTTCGAAAGTTGTTATTATTTATAAATAAACTTTATAACTTTAAGAAAAGATTTTATTTCTTTTTTTCCACTTAAATTCTAATACCTTATCGCATTCCCTTTAGACCACTTAACTTCTTCCTTTCTTTATTTTTTCAGATCAAAAGGACGTTACGCATGTACATTACTTCTAAGTTTTTTGGCCAGAGCGAAAGTTCTAATTCTTATTCGAGCTGGCTTTTAAAAATCGAAGGGAAAATTCTAAGCGATGTGCCTAGCAATTCGTTATCTAAAATATCGCAGAATTTTATTTCTAAATATCTGTAGCCCACTTTAGCTAAGAGCGACGCCGTTAAAACCAAGAAAAAGTTTTCTTCGTTTTTTGACCGAATTTTTATTCTCTCAAACGACGAGACACTCCCCAGGGAACAGCAATTTATAGAAGTTAGTAGGTTTCCTCTAACCCAATATCCCGTTTTATCCAATAAATACTAGTGGAAGAGATCCCTTGACACCGTCGAAAGCGACGGATTCGAGATTAAAAGGGCGGGGAGTCGGAACGTGCAGGTTCCTATTTCGTCAACACACTTCTCTATTTTGCTTACCGTTCTATTTTTTAGTGCAAAATTGTTATGTTTCTGAATTACCAGCCTGCTCAGTTTAAGCTGGCGGCTGGTTTTTCTAATCTTCTTGGACTCCACACAGCCACACGTTCAGAAATTATTGCGGCTTTCTGGCAATACTTGAAGATGAATAAGCTCCAGGATAAAATGGATCACAGTTTAATCAGGAATAACGAAGAACTTCAGCAGGTCACTTGAATTTCTTAGGCACCTTCGATCTTTTGATTGCGGCTGTAAACAGCTCTTTGGCTGCACGCACATGACTTTCTCCTCTCTTGCGGAGAGAATGGCTCCATTTCTGTCTCCGCCCGACCCGGTTGAACTGCATTACCAGATCCGGTCGGCGTCGTATAATCGTTGTTTGCGCTATTGTTACGATATAAGCGTGCACTCACAAAGTGCAAGAGACAACAAGCTTATTTATTACAAAAAGAACATACTTTAATATATCCTGGTAGTTAAGGCGACACTCGTTAACTTTTAGTTGAATATAGGTGTCACGACTTGGTAATATTACATATTACCACCGTATGCCTCGTTAAGACATAACTCAATAAGTTCTACAACTTGCGTAAATATAACGGTTTTATACGTTCATTCCCTTTACAGAACAGAGGCGGAATGCCAAGAGCCCTTGTGCTACGATCTCTCTGTCGAGGTTCCGTCCGTTACGTTAATTTACCGCGATAAAGTTGCGCTCACCAATGGAGTGGACCCAGATACCAGATCCTGGATCACAGACCTCCCTTCAGAACTTCTTGATGTCGGACGCAGAGTGCAAGAAGATTTCTGAATGCGACGCTGTGGTCAGTCGCTTATGCCATTCTTTCTAGTAGCCTATGTTATCCCGTGACTCGAAGATTGCCGATCTCCTTGCAAAGATTAAAGACCACAAGGAGAAGTGCGACTTCATGAGAGGTCGGCACTATATTAATTTCTACGGCGGACTCTCACACTAACACCACTGTGCCGTTGAAGGTCTTGTTGAGGATCCAGTCGGTTTCATCGACAAATGGATTGCTTCTCAGAGCCGAGACTTCCAGGTCTTTGCCTTTTGACACCTTCAGCGCTAAAGTGAGTGACGGCTCTCTTCCTTCATAGTTCGCGGGAGAGGTGCCCGGCAGTTACGAGGAGGAAAGGAGGGCGGACTACTATGCCAAGCCGTGGGTGGAGGAGGCCGTTTGGAAGTACTTGGGTACTGGTCCACAAACTGTACAGAGACCTATCCCTGCTTATTTGTCCTTCTGAGCAGGCGAGAGAATGCAGAAGAAGCGGATGCAGCTGGAACAGACAATGAACGAGCTTCGGAGTGGCGGCGGATAGACCCGACCTGCCCCTTTAATAAAAATGTTTAATGGCCTCCTCAGCTCACATATGGTTGACAATCTTGTGTCTGTATTCATTGATGTTCTCAGGCGTCAGGACCACCAATTCCCGAGTTTCCACCCTCTGCTTGGTCAGCGGGCACAAGCCGTTATTCTCTATGCACTGCACCCAAGAGGAATAGCTAGTGCGGGGGGAAGGTTCAGTCCTCGCTGGGTAAGAAGGATGAATTTCAACGACCTCATGACGTGGCCAGCTGGGGATATCGCCGGCATTACGACTTCCTCTAGAGTTATAGGATCAATAAAATTGGGCAGCGGGTTAGGGATTTCAGCTTTGTCGTCCTCGTTGAGCTCTCCGTGCTTAAGCCGCAATCGCTTGGTGGTAAAGAAGCTACGATCGGGCTTCCAATCATCCTCCACGGCGCTTCCTGGACACATGCGCACTGTTAGAACTTGAGACTAGTTGCTCGTACAATGCTTGCCCTCATCGGATGAAGTGTCCTCAGCCAACTTCCGCCATCCCCTTGAGGAAGCCCCTCGTGATGCCTTTGATCCGTCTGATGTCATAAGAAGACAATAAAGCGCACGGATTAGACAGTTAAACAAGTATCGATAGGCAGACTGTAAAAATCTTCCTCGCCGGTCTTTTGCTTGAAAGACTTGGTAAAATCTTCTAAATCAGCAGCTTTCGGTATTAGAGGGTATGAGGCGTACTGCTTACTTACTGCCGTCCTTGCCCTTAAACTTGTAATGTGAGTTGCCCTTCTCATCAAAAAAGTAGTTGGAGTCTACAACTCGCTTTTCTTTTAGAAGTTTTCGGTAGAAGTTGGAGCACTGGGCAGCAAGGGAAGCAGGTATTAACTTCAGTAAATGAAGTATCCAGACCGCTACACCTGATAGCCCACGCGCCCCGGGATGGCCATGCTGAAGATGCCCCACTGCCCGTTGGCCCCCAGCTCCTTCAGTCGAGTAAAAAAGAGCTTCTCCTCATGCTTCACCAGAAGAGCTGCTTAGTTATTAGCTTTAGTATTATTATTACAGGAGCTACCGCATCCCATTTCCCGTTTCTCTGCTTCTCTCCCGGATCATTAAATCTGTAGTTCAAATAAAGTAGAAGGAAAAACACTCTAAAGAGGCTCTGCGGCGCAGTGTATAGACCTGTAATAGTATGCGTTCGGATTCTCTTTTCGACCCAAATAGGCTCTAATGCGAGCGGGCGACCAATCTTTCATGGCTTCATCTAAAGGCAACCAACCCGCCGATGTCAAAGCAGCTACCATAGAAAAGAGTAGTAATTTGCAAATATGAACCCAAGTTAGCGCTTTTTTCTAGCTGTTGAATGGCTTCGTTAAGCGACAAGCGGGAGCGGACGTACGTGCCAAGTCTGCCCCAAACAACCTTATAACAGCGTTACTAATGAAACGTAGCACACACAGATCTAACTTTTCCCTGGCCAGCTGGGTGGCAATCCTCGAACCTTTCATTCTTTCTATATATTGTATATAAAATAATACTTACGAAATTGCCGTAATATATGTAAACACTTTTCATCGGCGACGGCGCTTCCAATTGGATGGCCTTTGAAGTAAAGGCGATTTTTTTACGTAACTCGTTTAAGTAAGTTAGCGAGTTGTCCGACAAGCGGAGTATCGCTTCTTCCTTATTTAAAAAAGTTATGTTATTTACTGAAATAAAAAAGTTAACTGCGTATTTTCACTTCGTTTTTACACTCTTTAAGAGCGTACGAGGCTTCTTCTTCAGTGACGTAATAAACACAACTTAAAATCTTCTTAATTTTGTTTCTTTCAAGCTTCAATTTATGTCTCTCGAACTTATAAAATTAGCAGACTCTTTTTGTATAAAAAAAGTAAAAATTAACCTCCTCTTGTTGTGTTTTAATTCTATACTCAATAACGTCTAATTCGGTGTTGGTAATATCAACAATTTCTTTTTTGCGGTAATTTTCCTGTTTGTTTTGACTATAAGATGGTAACTTTATTTCTATATAAAGCAAGTAAAGGAAAAAAAATACTTCTCCCATTCAAAGAGTTTCTTGATAGAAACCTCCGATACTTCTCTTTGATCTACTTGTCTCTCTTGTACCTTTTCAGCGAGGCGCTTGAAAAGTAATAACTAAAAAAAACCCTTCAATTCACAATTTAGCCACTTACTAGAGAAAAGTCAAAGGTTCGCAAACTATATAAATCTTTACTTTTAATATTAGAATTTAACTCTTTAAGTCTTTTAAAAAATCTATTTTACGTATTAAGAGAAATATATACACCTTTATGTTGGTTGTTGGCAAGCCGCACAACGGTGCATCAGTCGCATCCCAAGTGTTATTAAAGGTCTCAGAATAATAATGAGTAGAGTTTTTTCCTAATATCCCGTTTTCACAGGTTGACATACTCTACTGAAAAAGCTAATACAAAAGATAAAATAGAAAATTAACTTATAAGGCTCTAATACAGCAGGAGAATATCAAAACTTATTAATTCCGTGGTGGGGTGTCCAAGGGGCTGCTAAAAAGGTATGAGGGAAATCAGAGGTTTTTATTTGCTTAACCTAAATATTTGTCTGCTTTTGAGTTTAACCACCTCTATTTTTTAGTCAAGGATGATTACCTCAAAAGCTCTTCCTACAGAGATAAAGTCGTTGATGGGAAGATTTTTGGACAGGGCAGCTGAATTTGAAAAGCGTGATTTGGTGGTGCACTTTTATTGTATGTATTATAAAAAAGTCTTCGTTTTCATTACCAAAGCTTATTTATCAAAAAACATTTTGGTGTCTCGGTAGGCCTTATGCATAGTTTGGATCTTATCGTGAAAGAACCAAGCTATTCTAATAACCCAAAAATTTTACAATTTTCTCTGCCCTTGCTGGAGAGGGTAGAAACTGTACGCCTTCTTTAAGTTACTATTTTGTCTTCTTTATTTGGCATTACCGTGCGTCAGGGTAATAAACCCTAATTAAGATAAAAGATCCTAATCTAGGTCGGGTTTTAAATATTTATTTTAAAAAGATGAAGAAGGAAAGTGAGCGTGAAGAAATAAAAAACAGAGTCTGTGGGCAAGTGCGCAATTTAACTTATTTTTTAATAAAAATTCGTATAGTATTTTTTGTTCTTTAAGGCTTATTTAGAAAATTACGCTTTAAAAATTTTTACCCATGCCGACAAACAAGATCGTGAGGGAAAGGCCACGAAGTACGTAAAGTTAAACCAGAAAGTTTATTTAATACCGCGCTAGCTATATTTTTGCAGAGCAACTGTTAAACTTTTTTACACGGCTTCCGTTCTTATTGAAGTGTGCAGTCAATTTGGGTCCCTTAACACCGAGGTTTCTTGTTCAAAGAAAACGAAGCGTAGGTGCGGTTTTTTTAATCATGCTCGACTTCAGCTGGCCGAAAAACTCAAATACGCCAAGTATAAAACGGTTTACCTAACCAAGTGTATAAATGAAGGTTTAAACTTGCCTTCCCCTACTGAGTTTAGGAAGACCCATCCTCAAGTTTAATTCATTATAGGGATCACTCCTCAACCAGGGCCCCCGGATGCAGAAGACGAGCAGAAACAAGAAGGTAATAGCGCATCTTCCCAGCATAAGGCGGGTGATTCACAGTCTTTTCTGTAGTGAGTAAGCCCAACGGGCTGGAGGCTTCTCCTAACTACCGCGTGCTTCCGGAACCTAAAGACAGAGAGGGTTACCCACCGTTGGCCCACTTTGGAAGCACCGAAGCTGTTCCGCCTGCCGCCAGCCAGTCGATAAGTTCTTTGTGCTCGATAACGACGGTAAGCGTGCGTCCTCTGCCGACCAGCAGACTCGTTATTCTCTCCTCCTTCAAGGATCTCATACCAAAACGAAAGGAGGACGTGTCGACGAGTGATATCAGCAATGTCGATAAAAACTTAAGGTTGCCACGTGGTTGATATTTAAGCACTCTTCTTGTGTCACCACTACTTTAGGTCGGTTAGGAGCGCCCTACAGTTCGAGGATATCGAGGCGGCCGTGAAGCATCTGAAGCTTGCTCTGGACATCCTCACCGTGTCGCCCATCCGTGATCACCACTCTTCAGGGTAATGTGAAAACTTTATTAAATACTTATGTCGAGACCTTTTTATAGCTTTTCATGAGTTCCTATAAAATTTAAAGGGGTTAGTCCTATACTAAAAAAAAATTAGCGGAGCGGCCATAGACTAACCAAAGATACTCTGTGAGCGGTTTGTAAGGCCGACTTGCTTTCTTTCGTTGGAGCCTAAACGCTGCTGTTTCAGAATAAGGACTTTATAAGAAGCTAAGAGGAAAGACCTGCTTTTTAGCGAACTGATGTTCTCGTCGACTGATTCCTCTGAAACACTCTCCGTATGCTCCGGGCTGCTGCTAGATCGCCGCTCTTCCCTCTTCACATCCCCTTTGAAGCGCTACTTAGTAAACACGTGATAGAAGGGGCCAATGGGTCTGCAAGGGAGCAACCTTAACGCGATCGTGTGATTTTCCTTCCACGTGCTTCGAGCTGCCCTCCACATATTTCTTGAGTGTGTACCACATTAAGTGTGTGCGGTCAGCGAGTTAAACGGGTGCATACCTCCTTAAAGTTTAGGGGGAGAGGAAGCGACTGCTCCTCCGGGTTGTTTGCCTGGTCGCCTATCCACACTGCCTGGGAAAAGACCACGAGTTTCTGAAAAGAGTCCTGACACAGCAGCTCTTGCAAAGGTAGCACCCGAGAGTCATGTGCGTGACCGAACGGGCCGCTCGAGGCGGGGTATTACCTTTACTCCTCGTGGCTTGAAACGATATGAAGTTGTTTTTAGTGTAAACCACCATTCCAAGGAGTTTGAGAACGCCCTGCAGCCAGCACAATACTATAAACGCTTGCCTGCCGTAAAATTGAGGACGACACACCTCTGTAAAGTTCAAATATAGCGTAGGAGAAGTAGAGTCCATTTTTAACTTTCCGATATCTTTAGCTTCAGTGCAGATTTGTTTAAACTTGATATGCCCTGTTTTCTAAGTTAACCCTGTTAATAAATTTTCCAAAAGACTCAAACCAGGGAGACAAAGGAGAATTCGGTTTCTTCTTGTGGCTTTTTTTTCAATAGTACAACCATGTAGGTTCTGCAGCGCTTAAAATATACAAAAAACCACATCAAAGACAAGTAAGGAAAAAGGAGATTTACTAACACAAGTTAAAAACTTTTGAATAATTAATTTTTTTTAAGTTATAAAGTCTTCAATAACTTTTTGTTAACTGCAGAGAAGGTTGGTTCAAGGCTGACGTATCCGCCAATTCTTCAAAAATATTGGCCTTATAGGCATTACCAAGTAGGCTGGAGTGTTAAAATTTAATTTTACATATTGATCTGAAAACAATTATACCAAAAAAGAGGAACATTTAAAAAATTTAAATTATTGAAAGCGAACATCAGCCAAAAATAATATGTACTTTTTTTTTAATATAGTAAGTTCAACTTTTTTAGTACGTTCTTCGAAAGTTAAACCTTCTTCAAACATTTTTCTCCTACGAAAGGTTTTATTTTTTTTTAAAAGTTTTGAAAGAAACGTACTTATCCTTTTGTTTTTTGTTGCTTTCAGTCTTACGCTTTTTAGCCTTTTTGGTGTCTCCAGGTTGCGGTAAGGGATCGGTTTCCAGCATAATCGGGTTGTAGTTTATTAATTTAAAGGTAATATGTGAACAGCTTCTTGTGACCGAGTACAACGCTATTTATTAGTGTTAACACAAAATATGAAAACATTAAATTACGTGCTCCTGTGGCATTTGCTAAGCTCTCTCTTGCTCACTGGGTAACTCTTCAGGTTGAGGAAATGCCGATAACACGCACAATACATCCATTCCGTACCTACGAAAATCTGGGCCCAGCTGCTTCTTCACCTTGTTGAAATAAGTTTTAGCCCTAGGAAAAAGAGGAGAAGTGTTAATTGAACAGCATATTCTTCCAGTTCAACCTTCTTTAAAGTTTTTTTGCTTCATTATCTATGCTGGGTACTTTTTCGGAGGGAATACAAGAACATGGTATAACAGAAAGCGTAAGTAACAATGAAATTATTTCTCTGGTTCCAAACCCTTTTGTCTTTCAGTGTAAGGTGATAAAATTAAGCTTACTTATTTTTATTAATGTGAAATTTCTAATTGCTTTTTTGTTATTCCTAGAATTGTCGCGTTATAGTAGGCGATTCTTTTCAGTGGGTCACTAATAACGAAAAACTAAATTTAATTACTCTTCAAGGTGTATTAACTCAAAGTTAGATAATAATTGGTTTTACTATTAAGTTTTAGCTCTTACTGAAATTGTGGAAGTTTCCGCTATACTTATGATCTCTAAAAGCTTAGAAGACCCTGGAAGGTGAGGCGGGCTCTCATTACAAAAGCCTCTAATTTCATATGTATATTCCTAGTGCCTTCTATGTTTTAAGCTGTAAGAGTTGCAAAACAGTCCTTGGAAGAAAATACATCACAACTCTTTGTAAACTTGATTCACTGAGAGGGTTGTATAGTTTGGACGCGTCCAGTATCGAAAGGTTTTTTAACTTCTCTTCTATAAAGGCTACGGTTTATTATCGTATAGTGAATAAGCTAACAAATAAGTGTTAATATTAAGATATAATTTACTTTTTCTTTATTTAAATAAAATAAAATTTGAAATTTTGCAAAGCTAAGTTTCTAGTATATTACTAAGAAGTAATTGTCGAGCTATCAACTCGGCACTAGTCTACAGGACGGTGAGCGGCCGAGTCTGGAAAACCTGCCTACACTCAGTAGCCTGCACTTGCAACAATTAAAAGTATTTATCACAAACTTTAATAAATTTCTCTATCACGACGCACTACTTATCAAGATGGAACAAGTAATACTCAGCTTTAACGAGCGTATTACAGATCTTGAGGAAGACTTGGCTATGCTGGAAGACTTGGCATATATTTTATTCAACAGTTTCTTACATACTTACTCTTTATTATTTAAAAGGCCTTTTAAGAAACTGTTAATATTGGCCTTTGTGGTTGATTAATTAAAGGAAGTTCCGCAATTTACGTTGGAAGGTAATACTTCTTCACGACGACTCTGGTGCAGTCTGTAGAGCAATATTATAAAGATCTATAATAAACTGTAAGTGCGACTATGGCAGAGCTCCACCTTATTTTCTAGAAGACTATTGTTTTCTCCACTTAATATGTACCCCCTTTTGTCCTTTTTTCCCTTCTGACTGTTCTCCGTCCGTGTGGGCTTCTGGTGCAAAGTCCCCGACACCATGTTGGTGATATCGAGCACAAACATTTCTAGAATGGCTTGCCTTCCCACGGTTAGTACGTAGTAGGCGACGAGCTCCTCGATCTCCTGCGCTCGTACCGCTTCGCACCTTCTCTCTCCCTGCGCTGTGTGGCTGTAGGAGTGGTTTTCTATTATAGTTTCTGTGGGCCCAGGACTTGTTGTTTTTCCCCACTGTCCTCCCTGAAGATTAGTAAAGTTGCTTTGCCGTAGCGCCCGCAGCTCTTCTTCTAACTCAATTTTTACAGCCGTATATTTAAATGTGAAGTACTCGTTAACTTTAATATGTTGATTTTTTTTTAACAAGCTTGGAACACTTTTAAAAAAACTCTTTCCTTCTTGCAGTTCCTTTCGGAAATTAAGGAGGGCCTCCTTCCCTGTTATGGCAGGCTTAACACATATACAGGACAAAGTCGCGCTTATTTCGTCCCCTGGTAGTACGGGATTCCATTTGAAGTGGATCGGACACATTAACTCATCTATAAATTTGAGCTATGTTTTATTTAAAATAATAATTAAAAAACATTCTTATATAGGCTTGTACAATTGCATACAGAAAATACTTTAATATTATGCTAATAATATATAACGAATGAAGCGTTTAACCTTGTACTTGTACTTGCCAATTTTCGGAGTAAAGTCGCAAAGATAATAATGCTTTATTCTTAATATCTCTGCGAGACGAATTTCCTGCATAATGGTGTACGTACCCAAGCTAAACCGTGTGTAGGAAGGTTCGTATACACAATAGCGGCTATGGATACAGTCAGGACTTATAACAATACTGCTTACAGCCACTAGTACTTCGTTTACAACGACTTTTAAGTGGTAGGAACCAAAAGGGATTTTGGTGAGTGACTTTTTTTCCGTAAAGAGTTCCTCTGTTTGGTCAAAATCTAATTTAAGGTCGTTTAATTGTCTTTCGCAATCATTTAGCGGTTGTGTTTGTGTGTTCTCTAGTACCGTTGGTATCATCACGTTTAAATAATCGGAGAGTTTGCTTTTTTTTCTTTTGTGAATCGTGGCCTCGTACTTCTTAAACAGGTAAAATGATTCCATTTCGAAAAAAGGGGGGCTCAGCGTGACCTTTAGTCCGCTATTCTTATTTAATAATATACCTTTAGTGGTGTCTGTTTCAGAAGTGCTATGCTTGTTACTATTACAAAATTGGTTAACCTCATTAAGTTGTTTGTTTTCTAAACTGGTTTTATTACAGAGATCGTACACCTTTGCATAATTACGTTTTCGGCGGAGAAATGGAACGTTTCCTACTAAATCAATGCTTGGGAAAGGGACTAAAGCATTTTTACCACCTCTACAACTTCTTTGTCCGAAAAGGGCTGAATAAAAAATTTCCTCGCATAATTTTTCGTAATTACAACCATGTCCTTCAACATTTTCCTTCCTGAAGTTTAAACTAGCTCGTTTTTCGTCTTTAAAAGGAGAAACTACACATTTTTCTATGTCATAATACTTACTAAGCCCACCCGCTATTCCGATCAACCTTTTTTCTATTTTTCTAAGGTTTTTGGGCCACTTGAAATTTAGTATATTAAGGCGGGTTGGATAAATAGGACAGCAAGTCTTGTCGTTTAACTTGATGCTTAGGTAACTCCCTTATATATATATATTACTAAAATAAGTGCGCGCAAGTTTAAGAGCAGAAAAAGATGAGCAAAGTACCCCACGAATTCCACCCCCTATTGAGCAGAGCACTGTACTGCTGTGCCGTTAATTTTAGCAAAGGTTTCACTCTTAAATCCCATTGGACTTCACCGCAAGCTCCACAATGATAATGGCAGATATCAATGCTTACTGTACAAGAATCTTTAGCAATGCAATACATGGAAGAAATCTTGTTTAGTCTTCATAAATAAAATAAGAGTAATAATTGGAGCTACGTCTTTTAGAGGGAAATCTTATTATAACAACTTATACCCCAACTAACCATTGTATGAAGTTTATCTCTACTACTAACTCAAACCATAATTTTTGTCTTCTCGTATTTTAACGTCCTTATTAGCTTTTTCTCTCAACACTTAACAAATATAAAAAGCGTTACCAAATTCAGAAACTATACCCAACTTTTTATATGTAACCTATTAAGTTAGTGGTTTTTAAACCCTTTGTCATGTTAACCTCCCTTATTGGGCCAAGTTGGAAGAACACTTAAATTAAAATAGACTGCTAAGGATGTGTTTATTAAATAAACTTACTGTTAAATTATAATGCAAATAGTTTTAACATATACTTCTTGACCTTCGTATTTAGGCTCTATTCTTTATATTTATGTAAGTCGAAACTTGGACATTGTTATAAAATAATATTTAAACTAGCCATAAAATATATAGACTGATCTTTGTCCATCAAAGCAAGAAATATAATATGTACTGTTTCATGTCACCTCTTAACTATTTTAAAAGAAACTCAAATAGTTAACAAGGACTAAAAAGTCAAAGATTTTTAACCAGTAAAAAAAAATCATTTATAGTATTAACAAATGTATATTATTATAAAATGTTCGAAGGATACAATACGTTAATAATATTAATAACAGTTTGTAAAGCGCAGGATTTCATATTGTAACATTGACCCTGCTATCCCAGAACCGCCCAAAACATAGGAACGTAATTTTAAAAGTGGTTTATTAAAAAAAAGAAATTAAAAAGTTTTTGAGTGGTTGCTAAATCTTGGGTTGCAAAATGCTTTAATTGATTTATATTTAATTTCTTCAATTCTTTTGAAATTAAGTGCTCTTTCATTAATTAGGAAATATACTCTTAATGACAACAATTATCATAAATATAAACGGTAATAAAGGAACAAAAATATTCGCTAACTGTCTCATTTATTACATAGTTGATTTGAGGAGCCACTAGAGGTCTATAGTTCGCAAGTTATTTTACTTAAATTACACTTATAGGTTATCTTCTAGGCAAACAGCTACGGTTATAATTATTGTTAAAGTACTTTGAAGCAGGAATCTATAAGAAAAGGTTTGCACGATAAAAGGAATAAGTTCCCGGTACTGATTTTAAAAAAATTCAAGTTAATAATAACGGAAGCAATTTTGAGTTAAAGCAACTAAGTTACCAATACTAATACTCAATATAAACTTTGTCCCTGTTCCTAGCCATGAAATATCGGGCTTTAATAGCTTAGGTTATTGATGATATAGAGGTTGCAACTTCAGTTGATAACTTCTCAATGTAATTAATACTAATAAATAAAAAAGACAAACTTATTAATTCACTTAATACCGATATAAAAGTGCTCTAGCAAGAACTAATACTCTCGTGACATGAAGCAAGAGAGGCAGGTTAAGTGTGTTACCAAAAACCAAGTCTTACGCTTGCCGCCTACTCGGACCTAGTCTTAGCTACGATCAAAAACACAGTTGAAATAGTAATCTTACATAGAACTCAAGTTAAAAAGAACGGCACTAAAGAGGGTGAAACCCTACGAATAATGTTATATTGACACTCAATGAAGCAAGTTTTCTAGCTCATAATTAAATCCGACTTCGTTCGCAATAATACTCAATGGATGCAATATCTACTAAAAATAAAATCTATGTATTAAAAAACATTATAAATGGTATTGTTAATGGAGCATAAAAATCAACGCATTAAATAATGCGCTTTTTTCTAAAAAAAAGAGTTCCCGGTTGCTCCGCTTTTTACATTTGAGGCAGTTCTTCTAAAACCTTTATACAAAATACTTGTGTTTATCCATCTACAAAAATCTCGTGGTGGCAACATGCACAGACAGTAACGCCAGCGTTACACCCACTCTTAGACAAAGTCTGTGTCCTTGGACAGCAAACTGCCCTTGTATGTGGTCTGTGTACAAACGATTAAATTCGCTTTAAAAATTGGGCATAGGAAGCGCTCTGTACTTTGGCAACACTGCAATTACAGAAAAACAATGCATCCCTGACGGGGGAGCCGTAGGGTATACCAAACCCTGCGGAAAGCAGCTATTGTTGGCTTACTAACAGGTATGCTCGCAATGGTCACCACGTTTTTTATATCTTAATGCAGTCCCCAAAGTTTCACCGTGGCTATTTCTCTGTGGTAATGCAATCTTTAACCGCAGCCTGTATTACCATATTAGCAAATATCGTCCAGTAGTCTACTTCTAGCGGAAGGGCAAAACTGTTGTGGTTTTCTACTACGCAAGCTGGAATAGTTTGAAAAAACACACGGAGCACTGCGGTAATTCTGAATTGAATATTCGAAAAGGCTATTCCAGAACTCGAACATTTGTTAAATAAATAATACAAGGCTTTAAGCCTTGGACCTTGTATGGCGCGAGGATCTATAATATAATTGCCTTGTTTCCACGCGGACGCATCTTTCAAGTGAGCGCCGATACGCTGCTGTCTTGTCCCACCTACCAACAGCTGCTGAGTTTTCGCTATTATAATCCTCTAAGCTAGTGCATGCGAGACCTCCCAATCCCTGCGAGCTCTAGGCTAATTACACCGCATTTCTCACATTTTCGCGGGCCCCCTCCTCAATACTTCAGGAAGACCTAAAATGCTTGAGTATACCTATCAATTGGTGCCAGGGAATAATTAAAAAGGTAAAAAAAACCAGTGCATTTTTCTTTTCAGGATGACGCACTGCACTACCTCACTCCTAATAATTTGAAGCGTTGAGTTTTCATGGTGTTTCATCTAAAATCTGTCAACTTGGCGGTAGCACGACGAATTCTTGCAGCAAAGGACGAAGCAGCTATTTAAGTTTCTTTATACGCTGCTATGTACTAACAGCGCGCTTGTACAAATGTGTATTACTTAAGCTGTTGCTTGGAAATAGTGCAATGTATTGACGGTGATAACTGATCTAAAACAGATATTGCTTACAGGCGATTAGGAAGGTCTTTGGCTTAGTACACAAAGTCAAAAGGATTTTGGTGGTTTTTTTATGTTCTTGACCTAATGGTGGGATTTAGGGCCCAATGCACTTCCGCTACTTCAGAGTCCTTTGGGACAGTCACTTGAACAGTTTAAATACTTAAATCTATCATACAAGGATTGTGTTATTGTCGTAGCTAAACGGGGTACTGACGTGCAAACCGAAGATCGACTAAAAGTATCGGAGTATGACAGGTCAAATGTGTAAATTCTATTACACCGAAAATTGAGAGTTGTGGTTTTGCGGTTAAGAGCGGACGCGCAAGCTCATGGTTATGGGACTCTTTTCTCATCGCCATCGAATTTTCTTTTTCAGTAGGTTGAAGTTGCGTACTTAACCCCTCTCCCTCTTGAAAGTTGCGAAAGCGCAATCATCACAAAGCAGACCGCATTCGACTTCTTGGGAAGCTGTGAAAGTCATTTTTAAATAGATACCACTGCCTCTGTCCATCATGTAAATAAGCATTCGAATCATTAGTGGGTTTATGAATATACGTAGAATTTAAGATAAACCCAAGCAAAA